GGCTCCAAACCAAACATACATATGATCTTAAAAACATCTTACGGTCTCATTTGTGCGATCAAATCGCCAAAATGACATCATATACATAGAATCAAGCCTCAAAACACATGATTTTCTTTCAACTTTCATAAAACTTCAATTCCCCATTTTAAGTCCGAAACACGTCATATGACGTCCGTTTTTAGCCAAACTTTACAGATAGTGCTTAAAACATATTTAAGACTCGTACCGGGCGTCGGAACCAAAATACGAGCCCGATACCACAGTTTTCTGATCAATTTCCTTCTTCATTTTCCTTAATTAATTTCAGAAAACAATTTCACACAAAAATTCATTTCTCGGGCTTGGGACCTCGGAATTTAATTCCGGGCACACGCCCAAGTCCCATATTTTTCTACGGACCCTCCGGGACCGTCGAATCACAGGTCCGGGTCCGTTTACCCAAAATGTTGACCGAAGTCAATATTATGCATGTTAATATCAAAATCCATCAAATTTTTCACATAATTCACATATTCTAACATAAAAACTTTCCGGCTATGCGCCCGAACTACGCACGCAAATCGAGGCAACTAAAAGCGAGGTTTTCAAGGACTCGGAAGCGCGGAACAAGGAAGAACTACGGTGATGACCCTTTGGGTCGTCACAACAACTTATACCTAACTACACATAAAATTGAATTTTTAGACCAGGTAAATAATCCCATAGTAAATCAGGTAAAAAAATACACATTAGTTGACGTGCAGATGTCGATCGAGACCGAGTAGTTTCAAGTTAAATTTCTGAGTTTATCGCTAGCTTCTATGCTGATATCTTCCTACTAGTATGTGTTTGTGGGGTAAAAACTTAGCGCATCGGGTGTTCACATAAATTCAATAAATACATAATATATGTTTTTAAAAACGTGGTTATAAAAGAATCATGATTTTTAATTGATACACATTTTTATCTTAAATTACTTAATCATAATAAATTAATATTATTTGATGTATACCCGTTGTGCGCCTGAGTTTTTACCCCTACTCGAGGTGTCAATTTATACAGATTATAAGTACTGTGAAATTGTGGCGTCGCTATCGAGATTGTTACATTGAATAGAGGATGAAGCTCGTACAGGAGCTTCAATGGTGATTCTAGAATATTCCAAGGAAGATAAAATATCTGGGAGGAGAGCGGATGAAATGAAATTGTAAAATATGTCTCTCATTAATTCTGCACTATTACAATGTGTTTATATATGTACACGTGTTGTAGCTGAAAGTAAAAGAAGTAAAAGTAAAGTTGCCGACTCAGCTATTACAATTAACTTAACTAACTAACAGTAACAAAATGCTTATCTAACTAAAATATATCTCAATACCCCCCCCCCTCAAGTTGGATGAGAGGATCTCACAGCCAACTTGCTGAGTACAGCATGGTGTTTAACTACTGTGAGTGCTTTGGTAAGAATGACAGCTAATTGGTCAGTAGTGGCTACATGTTGAAGATAGATCAAGCCTTCCTGAAGTTTGTTCCTTAAAAAATGGCAGTCGACCTCAATGTTTTTGTCCGTTCATGGAAAACAGGATTTTGAGCAATTTGGATAGCAGATTGGCTGTCGCAAAAGACAGTAATAGGACTGGACTGTGGGATAGTAAACTCTTCAAACAACCTGTTTAACTATACCAATTCTCCAACCACTTTCCTGAGGGACCTGTACTCAGCTTCAGTTGAGGACAAGGAAATGGTTTCTTGTTTCTTTGATTTCTAGCTAGTGGGACTGTCTCCAACCAAAACAATGTAGCAAGTGACAGACTTTCTAAAGTCAGGGCATGATGCCTAGTCAGAATCACGGTAGGCAGAGATGGAGCAATCAGTATTGTTGGAGAAAAATATTCCAAGTGTGAGATCTGTCTTGAGGTACCTGAGAAGATGGAAGGTTGCTGTTAACTGTGTATCTCTAGGTGCTTGCATGAACTGGATGAGAAGCTGTACATTGTAGGCTATGTCAAGTCTGGTATTGGTGAGGTAGTTCAGCTTTCCCACCAATTTTCTGTAATATGTAGGGTCTGGAAGAAGAGTGCCTTCATCAGCCTTCAACTTCACAATAGGATCAAGGGGAGATGACAAGATGTTATAAGCAAAACAATCATATTCCTTCATCAAGTCTAGGGTCAACTTTCTTTGAGATATGATGATACCATCTGATTTGTAAAGGACCTCTAAACCCAAGAAGTAGTGAAGTTACTTGTCAAGAAATGACTCCAAATTGGTTATCGCCATTGAATCAGTACCAATGATGATAATATCATCAACATAGACAACTACAAAGATAATGTGGGAAGAAGTTTTCTTGGAGAAGAGTGAATAATCATTCTCAAAGTGTTTGTACCCTATTGATGACAGGGCTTCAGTCAGCTTGGCATACCATTGCCTGCTGGCTTACTTCAGCCCGTACAAAGATTTGTTGAGTTTGCAAACCACCTTTTGTGGACCAGTCTGATAAATTAAAAGACCTGGTGGCACCTTCATGCACACTTCTTCATATAGATCACCATGGAGGAATGCATTATTTACATCAAGCTAAAATATATCCCAGCCTTTCTTCACAACAACAGTGACCAAGACTCTAACTGTTGTCATCTTGACAACAAGGGAAACGTTTTCTATATAGTCAACGCATGCTTGTTGAGTGTACCCCTTTACCAATAATCTAGCCTTAAAATCTCTCTATACTATCATCTGCTTTTTGCTTAATTTTATAGACCTATTTGCAGTCTTGTCTGCTTTCCATCTAGCAAGAGTACTAAGTCCCAAGTGTTATTGGCATAGAGAGCCTCAAACTCATGTGTCATGGCTGTGACTTGCAGGGCTGAGTGTTGCCTCTCCATATGAAGATGGCTTACTATCATGACAAACATTTGCCACTAAGTTCTGACTTTCAGAACATAAGGCATCAGGTGTAACATAACTATAATTAGAGAAGAGTGCACTCAAAGGAGGTGAATCCTGAGGTGCATCAGGATGTGATGTGTTAGTCAACTTATAAATTTAATTCTTAAGGTAAGTAGGAGTTTTATGGGTTCTGCTGGTTCTTCTTAGTAGAGGTGTTTCTGATTGGGTAGTGTTGGTGAATGAGGGCTGGTAATCTCATGTGCAGTTTCAGGGATAGGAGAATGGTGAAAGGACTGAATATCTGATGTGTGCATTGTGGTATCATTAGCAGATGAGGATTTAAGGGATTGATGCATATCTGGATATGTGATACTTATAGAAGTTTGAACATTGGAGTGTGGACTGCTATTGTCAGTGTGAGTAGGAAAGGAACCTGACTTGATGATATTATATAGGGAGACATCCTTAGGCCCTAAAGATAAAGGAAAGACACTTTCATAGAATACTACATCTCTAGAAACATGAATCTTTCAAGTGGCTAGGCTTAACACTTTGTAACACTTTGTCCAAAAGAGATAGCCCACAAAAACATGAGGAGTTGTCTGGGGCTCAAATTTATCTCTGTGCACCTTAGGCATAGTAGGATATCAAAGACACCCAAAGCTCCTCAGGTGAGAATAATTGGGCTTCTTGTGATGTAGGAGCTCAAAAGGACACTTGTTGTTCAAGTAGGTAGTGGGCAATCTGTTAATCAAATAAGTTGCTGTCAAAATGCATTCTCCCCAATATTTAGTTGGTAATTTGGATTGAAACATGAGTGACCTGGAAGTTTCAAGGAGATATTTGTGTTTCCTTTCTACTACCCCATTTTATTGTGGAGTATAAGAGCAAGTTTTATGGTGAATAATGCCTTTAGTTTGATAGAAGGTGGTGGCTTCATGACTGGTAAACTCCAGTCCATTATCAGATCTGATGGTTTTCATAGTGGTGTCAAATTGATTCTCAATCATGTTTACAAAGGCTTTAAGGGTTTGTAGGGCATTGCTCTTGTTACTTAACAAACGAGTCCAAGCGGACTTACTGAAATCATCCACCAAGGTAAGAAAGTATTTGTAGTTATTGTGTGTAGCAACATGGTAGAGGCCCCATATGTCAACATGTATTAATTGGAAAATTTGAGTAGATGTGCTAGTTCTTTGTGGAAATGGGAGTCTGGCTTGTCCAGTCATGGGCCAAATGGAACAACTGAAAGGTTGTTTAGGTGAGAAATTCACAGGTATTGAGGATATTCCTCTCATTTTGATAAAGGGAACATGACCAAGCCTATTATGCCACAAGACATTTACATCATATTTGTCTAACTCATCTAAAGAGTCATTCTTATTATTGTGAATCGAAGTATTTACATTTGTTGAATGAGACTGTGAATGAGGAGGACTACTAAAGACTTCACTATTTGCACTAGTAGAAACAGAACAGTTGCAACAAAATATTGGTAGACTAGTATTTGAAACAATACTTTTACCCTTCAGACACCTGAAACAGAGGTAGTATAATCCCTCTCTGCTACAACCAATCACCTGAGGCCATTTCATTGAAGGGGCCTGCAATAGACATGAAAAATACAATAAACTTGAGATGTGTTGCAAGAAAATTGACAGAAATCAGGTTGTACTTAAAGGATGGAACATAAAGGACTTTGTGTAGAGTAGCTTTAGATCTGAGTATCACATCCCCAAATTCAAGCACTTTCACCTTATATCCATTTGGTAGGCTTATCAACACAGGGTATGGTAATTTTGTTATATTACCAATTGCAGTTTTATTGAAAGTTATATAGTTAGAGGCTCCTGAGTCTTTAATTCAAAAGTCAGTCTTAGATTCGAAACATTTGCACGATGGTTTGTCAAAATCAATAGAAGAAGTGCAGACCACAATACCTGCAAAGTCAACAGCACCACAGGTGATGTTGGCATTGCTGGAGATCCTCCTCCTATCTGAAAATGCTGTAGCAAGTTCATTATCTGACTTTATTGCTCTTTTGTCAATATGACATTCTGATTCTCACCATGTAGGATTGGATCATCTTCCTTCTCATGCAACAGATCAGCTGGGACTCCATGTATATTTGCCACAGCTCCCTTCCCTCTATTGAATTTGTGACCTTGAGTTTGACCTGAGTTATTTCCCTGGTTGAATTGTTGAGTGTTAGTGCGATTTGAATTCTGATTGTTGTAAGGATTGTTCTGGGGATATCCATGTAGTTGGTAACATTTGTCCTTTGTATGGTCTGGCCTTTTACAATAGTCGCAGAATGGTCGACCCTTGCTGTTGGTAGTGTAATGTGTTTTGAAATTCCGAGCTCCAAAAGGATTCTGATGTTGTGAAGGTGCAACATTCACATGAAGTGAAGTAGACTCTAGGCTCATCTGATTGTTTGGTTTGAACTCCCTTTGCTTTTCCTCTTGCACTAACAAGGAGAAGGCATGTGCTAAGGATGGTAGGGGTTCCATCATTAAAATGCTTCCTCGCATTGTTGTGTAGACTTCGTTCAAGCCCATCAGAAATTGAATAAGTCGTCTATCATGTTATGCCTTATGCATAGTATCCTTTGACCCACACATACAAACACAGGTGCATTGGGATTTGGCACCGAGATTGCTCAATTCTTCCCACAACCTTTTCATTCATGTGTAATAGGCAGTGATGTCCCAAGAGCCTTGAACGAGATCATTGATTCCTTTTGAATCTGATACAGCTTCACACCATTCATTTGATCATATCGATCTTCCAATTCTCTCCATAATTCCACTGAACGTTAACATACTCAACACTGTCAGAAATTTCTTTTGCAAGGGACTTAAGAATCCAGGAAGTTACCATGTTGTCAGATCTCTCCCACTGATAAAATTGAGGAGAATTGGGAGGAGGCTTCCTGCAATCCCCGTTTATGAACCCTAATTTATTTTTGACTGACGGGGCTCTCAATACGTTCCTCTTCCATGACCTATACCCATCCATCAAAAGGAACTGGTACTAGAGTCACTCCAGGATATCCGAAGGATGAATGTATAAAGAACTGCTCACATCGATGACTGCTTGATCATTACTGCTCGTATTAGGGGTGAGTTCTTCGGTTTTATCGATAGCCATAAGGGAAGCTCCAAATGATAAAATTGACGAATATCCTAAGTAATACGGTGATTAGACTGACCGATTTTGCAGAAAATACCTTCACTTCACACAAAATTGCAGTTCAAAATCGCGAAATCAAACCCTAGCAGATGACAGAGAGAAATAGGACTTGATTAAAAACTCTGGTAGATCTCAGGCGAACGTATTCCGCCGACTCTGATACCATATCGAGATTGTTACATTGAACAGAGGATGAAGCTTGTACAAGAGCTTTAATGGTAATTCTAGAATATTCCAAGGAAGATAAAATATCTGGGAGGAGAGCAGATGAAATGAAATTGTAAAATATGTCTCGCATTAATTCTCCACTATTACAATGTGTGTATATATGTATACGTGTTGTAGCTGAAAGTAAAAGAAGTAAAAGTAAAGTTGCTGACTCAGCTATTACAATTAACTTTACTAACTAACAATAACAAAATGCTTATCTAACTAAAACATATCTCAACACCAAAATATGAAGAATGATTTTACATTTGATTAATGAGGATATTCTAAATTGTTTTCCCTAGAGTCCGGAACCAAAATGTGGTTCTTTTGAACTCAAAATACACAAATAGGTGGTAAAAAAAATTACATTTTTATATATAGCGCCATAATACCTGGTGCTATACACTAGTAGTAACGACACCGTTAATGTATAGCGCCAGGTATTGTGGCGCTATACTGTAAAATCTGACATGCCCAGGTATAGCGCCACAACACCTGGCGCTATACATACATCATTAATGTATAGCGCCAGGTATAGTGGCGCTATACATAGATATTTTATATCCCCTCCGTCTTCCATGTCGATTCATCCTCCATTATTTTAACTCCCCTCTTTTCTTGGCCCCCCACCCCAGACCCGTTTCTGCCATTTGTTTTAAAAAAAAAAGAAAAATTGGATCCCCCCGACACATAAAACTCGAAGAACGTAGGTCCCACATTCGAGTAGAGCTTCGTGTTATTGTTGATTCACACTTCCGGAGTCAAAATTTCAATTTTTTTGCTTTCCCAAAATTCTAAATCGAGGTATTTCGATTTATTTTAAGTTGAAACATTTATAATAAGGTATATTATTTGATTTGTAT